AAAAAAAAAAAAAAAAAAAAAAAAAGCCGCACCCCCCACAACAAAAATGCCGACACCTCTGCCTAACCAATTGTCAAAACCGAAACACTCCCAAAGATATATTACAAACACATAGATTTTGGAGTTTCAATGGAGGCAATTAGCTTATGTAGCTTCGGTAATTTTTTATCTACTGATGTTTTCTCAACATCTAAAGAGTATTGAATAAAGAACTCTATTTGAAAACTTTGTTGTGGTGGATCTACAAAATCTAACTACATCTATTGGATTTATGCTTTGGTTTCTGCTTCTAAAATATAGAAATTCTGGAGAATTGAAGCTCGTTTCTATTCGAGGTTGCAATTCCAGTTCGAAATCATGGTCCATAGCTCGCTCGAGGATTGCTTTTTCTTTGGAGATTATTTTGCACTGTACCCGTTGAAAAATTTTCAGTAACAAAGGTCCATCTTCCCCATTGCAACTTCATTAATTTTGAATGTAATCTTATTGCTTCTATTCTTCTGAAGTTGTTTGTTGCTTTAATTCCCTTGAGATATATGAATATAGAATCGTTGTTTTGATTCCTTTAAGCTAAGTATTAATCGTGCTATGATGGGTGTTTTGTTGGTAAATTTCATGTAAATTGTGTATTATTTGATATCATTGATTACATGGCTAATTTTTAATTGTTTAGGATTTTATAAGGTTAAGCTCTATAATTGCCTATTAGTATGGACAATGTGTAAATCTGGGACTTATCCAAATGAGCTTTGTCACGATCCAAATTCCATTAAGGATCTTGATGGCGCCGGACACCGCTATCAGACAAGCTAACCAAAATACTTAATTAAATTCTCGTTTTGATAATTTTGGAAACTATGATTTTCCTTCAATTTTACTAGTAAAAGATAATCATTTCAAATCAAATATGAATGTTAAGAAGTTAATACAAGATACCCCATAATCATCCCAGAACCCGACGTCACAAGTGCATGAGCATTTACTAGGGAATGAAATAAAATACAGTAACTGTCCGGAATACAAGGTGGACAGAAATGAAAAACACCGTAAAATACTCTGAAAGGGACTCTGTTGGCTGCGGGTCATCTCGATAAATGCAGCTCACCTAAGTCTTCGTATCAACCATGTCGCTATGCCACTAAGCCACTAGCCACATATAAACCTGTGCAATAAAAATGCACAACAAATGTAGTATGAGTACGAAAACAACGTGTACCCAATGAGTATCCCGTCTAATCTTGAAGAAGTAGAGACGAGAGGTCGACTTCGACACTTACTAATGGTCCAATGATAATATAGTAAAAGTGTGAGGAATTCATGGATTTCATGAAGCAAAATTTAACTCATAACACCGGAAAGCAGGTAAACAACTTCTCAAATAATAAAGGATTTCCAAAGATTTACTTTTCATTATCTTTATCAATTTATCTCTGGCCAGGAAAGGCAATTATCAACATTTAAAATTCTCAGGCAAGCGATACAAGCATGTGCATATCATGCCGAGGTCTTACGCCTCATCCAACATAAATGTAAAATGTGCACTGTCGAGAGTCGAACGACGTGAACCATAGATGCATCTATTACCCCGCTCGCGAATCATACATGTGACGCGGGCACACATAGATAGACACATTCAAACAACTAATTAAGAATTTATCGGGGAACATTTATCCAAACGAAAGCCAATTCTCCTTTAACGATTTAAGAAAATGAAGTTTAATCCCTTTTTGAAACTCATTTACCAATTCGATAGGATTTAAGCAATTCAACTGTCAATAAGCTTACAGATATTCCAAGTATAACATGCTTTTGGGTCCTAGACTACCCGGACTTAGACACAATAGTAGCTACGCACGGACTCTCGTCACCTCGTGCGTACGTAGCCCCTACAGATAGGAGCACATAACCAATTATTTCACCTATGGGGACAATTCCCTCTTACAAGGTTAGAAAGGAGATTCACCTTGCTCCGAAGATCCATAACCGGCATTCCACGCCTTACCGAAGACTCGAATCCATGCTAAATGTTCCAAAACTAACAAATAATTATGCAAATCCATTAATATATATTCAATTACTCATTACAATTAAATTTATAACAATTCCTAACCCCGATCGAAAAGTTGACAAAATTGCCCATAGGCCCACGAGCCCAAATTCAGAATTTTTTTGAAGATAAAGTTTACCCATAACCTCACGAACTCAAATATATAATTTATTCTCAATTTCATGCCCAAAATCGTGGTCAAAATCCAAAAATACCAATCCTAGGTCTTTCCACCAAAACCCCAAGTTTCTACCAATTTTTCTTGCTCAAATCCATAATATATCATGTATTTAACTCATAAGGGGTGAAATTAACTTACCTCATATTTGATGACGAAAATGACACCTCAAAGTTGCTCCAAAATCGGCTCCAATGGAAGAAATGGGGTTGAAATGAACCCATCCCCTGACTTAAAAGAACCATACTGCCTCCAGCATTTCCGCACATGTGGTCACTTGACCGCTTTTGCGGTCCCGTAGGTGCGATCCACTACCCGCTTCTGCGGTTTCTCACCAGGCTGCCCTTTCCGCTTCTGCGCCTCAACAACCGCAGGTGCGGTCTCGCTTCCGCGGCTACATGACCGCATCTGCGTCCCTCCTAGCCGCTTTTGTGGCTCCACACCTGCGGCCAAAACCTTGCAGGTGGGGTTACACCAGATACCAGCTGCTTCAGTCCTTCTTCAAATTCCAATTTTGATCCGTTAACCATCCGGAATCCACCCGAGGCCTCCGGGACCCCAACCAATCTCAAAACATAATGCGTACCTGCTCGAGGTCTCAAATCACATCAAACAATGCTAAAATCACGAATCACACCCCAAATCAAACTTGATGAACTTGAGAAATTCAAACTTCAACATTCGATATCGAAACCTATCAAATCAAATCCGATTGATCTCAAATTTTGTACACAAGTCATATATGACGTTACGGACCTACTCCAACTTCCGGAATCGGATTCCGACCCCGATATCAAAAAGTCCACTTCCGGTCAAACTTCTCAAAAGCCTTCAAATTTCTATCTTTAGCCAAATGACTCCAAACTGACCCACGGACCTCCGAATTCACTTCCGATCGCACTCCCAACACCAAAATCACTATACAGAGCTATTCCCAGACTCGGAATCTCAAACGAACATTAATAACACTGAGATGCACTTCAACCCAAACTTATGAAATTCTTCCAAAAATGCTAGCTTCCATAATAGGTGCCGAAACGCTCTCGGGTCTTTCAAAACCCGATCCGGACATACGCCCAAGTCCGAAATCATCATACGAACCTGCTAGAACCTTCGATCCCGAATCTGAGGTCGTTTACTTGAAAATTCAATCTTAGTCAATTCTTTCAACTTAAAGCTTCCGAAATGAGAATTCTCTTTCCAAATCAACTCCGAACTTCCCGGAATTCAGTTCCGACCATGCGTATAAGTCATAATACTTGAAGTGAAGCTTCTCATGGCCTCAAGCTGCTAAACGGTATGCTCGAGCTCGAAACGACCGTATCAATCACCACACGATGTACCAGAACATGACTGCATACCTTTGCAGAATTCCCACCTTGCACCGCTTTATTTACAGGACCACAATAACATTCTCTGAGCATAATAGTCGAAATTCCACGAATCTGATGCTCCCATTGCACCTCATGACATATGTAGGTATTGCTTTAACTCTTTACAATACCGCCACGATAGAAGAGATGTATAGAAATTCATAACCAACTGCCGAATCAACAATTCATTGGGTCCATACTCCTGATAAGAACCATCACCTCATTCTGAACCAAATAATGGTCTTTGTTCCTTAATATACTTCATATAATCAGATTGCACTGATCCTAAATCCAATGATCTCATCTCACCCAGTACGAACTGCTTAGGCAATAAGCCACCTCGGACATGATCAAAAGTCTCATATGATGTCACAATGTGCCAATAGGCTACCAAATCGAACATGATACAAAAGGAAAGCGAACTCTGAAAAGGAAATTCAATTACCCCGCTCGCGAATCATACCTGCAATGCAGACACACATCTAATATTAGTTTTCCTCAGAAAAATAGGAAACTAAACACATGAAAATAGATATGGGGAACTATACTCAACATCACACTATTGCGGCGCGCAACCCGATCCAAACAATACACCCATGGTGGTGTGCCACCCGATCCACACATAAAGTTCACATAAGGAGATACACACCGAGCTAGATTGCTCATTACAACAAAATACCGAATATCTATCACAAGCACGCTAAGTGCATAATACCATCCCTGGGGAGACATATAGTGTCATAAGCTACAGAACTCAAGCACAACTGAGGTGCGATATACAATCTGAATCTCAAGAGCCATTCTGCTCATATAACATCATCGCTATGCGGAATCTCAACACATACAAAAATTATCGATTCGTTCACAACTCACACGACACAATATAATATTACATGAAACAGCCGACGATGAAATAACATCCAACATCCGAATACTCCTCCATAATGAGCGCTATGCCGAAATGAACACATCCGGCCTGATATAGAGCCCATATTCGCACTTAAATCCATTCACAGACCTCATGCCGATTCTGATTGTACCAAACTAAGTCCATAATCTTTCTTGGGTCCATAATAACCCTCTTTTCCCATAACACATAGGAACATCCATCATAACCGGAGTAATCCTCCACAGTCCACGACCCAATAAATCGAGTGCCCTCCAGGCATCAATTCTCAAATTAACGATATCACCACAATCTTCATGCTTGGTTTGACGCTTCAATAAATCAAGTGACTACATGCCACACTTATACAACCTTCCCGTGGGGAACACTCCCACAACCTTCCATAACAGATAACATATCTGTACATCCAAACCACCAGCCGCACTAACGCTGAAACGCGCTCAAGAATGCTTAACCAGGATGCAAAGACTTTTTCACAAAATACCGATCTCAGGTGACGCTAAAGACGATACCAACTTACTTTAAACATCCAAACTCATTTCCTGCTCATCCGAGCTCGTGACATGCTTGTCAACACTGAACTACAATCTTGATCCTCACTTCAAATTCCATACCACTCACTGCACCCAACATGCCAAGATATGATAGAACACGATTTTCATCATAACTCCGGAACTACTAATAGATTAACACTTCATCATATAAAAACTTTTCACTTAACTCACTTCAGTAGAACCAAAGCAACACACGGGTGAATTCCCATAACCGTAGAATATGCAACTCTCTAAGTAGTGGTCTAAGTCACCATAGCCCTTCCGGGATTCACCTACACATAACGGGTCATAACAGTAGAATATATCTGAATAACATCAATTACGGCGGCCGACAAGCCTCACACGTACCGTCACAATTCACTTGCATAACTTGATCACGCTGAAGGAACTGATCACTACCACCAATATGCCAATTGAACTATGGCTAACCAATCTATCTTCTTCTAATTTATCCTTGATTTCCTTAGAAATAATAATAACTCCATTCAACACATAACACACTCCATCCGCACTCATTCCGAGAGACCTTGAATCACTAAACCATGCTATCTC